AGTAACCTATCTTCCTATCCATCCCATCTTAGCCCCCCTCCCTTCTCTCCCCTCTCTTCCCCTCATAAAAACCCCCAAATCCCCAAAAAGGATAATATAAAAAAGAACACTACAACTAACTACCCACTTATGCACAAATCAATCAATCAATCAATCAAAAGCTGCACGCACACTTTCAAAACCAATCCCTCTTCTCTCAATATCTTTCTTTTGAATTTCTTCTATCTGCTATCTACTATACTATCTATCTCCTTTAAACTTCCTTACTTCTCACCTCCCCTCCCCTCTCCCTCATAGTATCTCACGATATACGATACAATACATAATACAATTAAAGCTCTCCATTGTATCTTTTCTTCCCCCCTCCTCCATTCTTCATTTTCAATCTCCCCCTCCCCCTCCCCTCTCATCAAAATCCACAATCCACATCACACGATCCACGCACCTCAACTCTAATACATCATTCCCCTCATCTTCATCCCAAGAACAATTACACCTCTCTAACAAAAGACCAATTAAGCCCAATACCCCTTCTCTTCCTCTCTCCATCCATTAATTACCCTCTCTTCTTCTCTTAACCATCCATCCATCCAACTCCTAGTCCAATTCCAATTAGTAACCAGGCAGTCAATCTCCTGTAGGCAAAAAGAAACAGATATATCTATAGCCATTCGACCATATATCCTGCCTTGGAACCCCTCTTTCAGTCAGAGATTATAAAAATACAGTAAAGAAATAAGCCCCATCTCCCTCTCTTTCTCTCCTCCTCAAAGAGAGCCAACAGATTAAAACAACTATAATAAAATCCCATCCCAAACACGTATGGTATAATGCAGTAGTAAAAAGACGCTCTTGCAGCAACTCCGACGAGAACAAAAATAAAACAAATAAATAAGTGGACAAAATACCACCAAAACATCAAGGCATTAAAACAAAGGAAAATATTCATCGTGTCAGTCATACATTGATAAGATGTATGACTATGTGATATCGATTTTATAAAATCGAATGGGGTATCTTCTCTTCTCTATTATTGAATCGCAATTCAACTTCTCTTCTTCCCTCGATGTAATTTCCACTCTGCTTTCGCGACCTTCATCAATAATTCCTCATCCTTGACTGGGATCCAACTGGTGAGAACTTTCATTGAACTTTCGAAATCACTATCGAGTAATATATCTCTCGTGCCATCGATTAATGCGGCGCTAGTAGCATGAATGACATCCAAGCCACCTGCAAATGGTCTTTCTTTGCTATAGGGTAAGGATTGATCTTCATCTCCTAGAAGCATAAAGACATCCCAAACGCGGAGTTGAGCTGGGAAAGGAATGGAATAATTGAAGAGAGTGAGATACCATCGAGTACCGTATGCTGTAGGTTCGATGCCAAGTTCGTTCTATCACAGTCAGTATTGTATGTAAAAAGTAGGACATCAAGTACTTACCAGCTTAGCCGAAACCTCGCCATTGTCTAGCCACGTAGTTGCAAACTCATCTAAAGCAGCCATCAAACCCGGAAATCCTGGTTCGTATAATTTCTCCAGCCCACGCAAAGTCCACATGCGTACTAGCATCACAAAACATTTCTCTTCGTCATAATAACACAGAAGAGTAGCTGCCAATGATGCCATACCCTGAACATAGCCAGTAGCGGGAAAGTATAGTGATAAAGCGTGAAGAACTCTAAAGAGTAATCTCTGACCTCCTCTATATCTTCGTCTAAACATGATGTGACTGTTGATCGTCCGAGGAACATCAACATCGATTTGAACATCATCTGCCGAACTTTGATCTTGTAGCTTATGGAAAGCTTGGATTATATCTCCCTCTTGTGCGCTGTCTTCCCTCTTCTTTGCTGAACTAGCAAGAAAGGAATACCATGCCGCAGAACGCCAACGATCTGGTATCCCTTTCCATGTCCTTTCTATTAATTTGGAATTTTTGGTGTCGAATTCGAAAACCATTCCTTCTCCATCCTTGCCCTTTATTATTTTAGCCATTCTCCTCCATTTCTCTGTTCGTTCCGATTCTTTCTTCTTCATCAATTCTGCCCCTTTCCCCCCTTCCACTTCTTCAGCAATATCCGCCAAGCCAGGAGGTAGAGTCAACATGTCACCAGCTTCGTCCATCCACCTTCTATCTTTATTTCCTGGTAATCGATTGGCAGCTTGTCTGAGTTGAGAGCTTCGCGAACTTCGTATTGACGCATTATCCCCTTGTGTCCTTTTCAACGACCTCGCAGAAACCTTTCGACTAGGGGCACGCCTCAATCCCTTCTGGGAATTCGCGGTAGATGGCGATCGACCAAATGTTCGTTTTCTTCGTGGTGCCTCGGAAGCCAATTGAAGTACAGTAGACACCCGTTGTGGTGGTTTGGGTTCTGGCGTGCCGGGTCTGGTGGTAGTCCTCCCGCTATTAATGAAACCATATCTATCGACATCTTTCCCATTCACATCTTCCCAATCTTCGATGCCTCCCGCCAGCTCGGCCGGTCCTCTATTCGACAATGCGCTCGCGGATCGTTGTGGTACACCAATGCCATTGGGAGTCAAGTAACTGTTTGCCCTAAAATTAATTAGTGGAGAGCGCAATCATCAGTAAGCAGTTCCACACTCACGTAACAGGTCTTTCGGGTATCGAATCCCCTCCGGCTGTTATACGATTGTCAATTGTGTCGTCTTTCCCATCACGCCAGTCAAAGCCCGACCCCGACTCATACATAGATCTGACCTTTTGCGACTCCATTTCCAAATCGTCCGACAATACTTTGGTCGATGGCGACGTTGTGGCTAACATAGAAAAGCTAGGTTGTCTAATGAATGTCTCTCGTCAGCACAATTAGCTGGTACGCTACGGGGCTTTGATCCCACCCACCTTCGCGTCGCATTTGTGCGCGCTTGAGCATTTACTGGCTTTCTTCCCCCTAACATGATACTCCCTCTTTTGGAAAAAGACATAGATTGCATAAAATCGTCTTCTAATAAACTTTCACCTGGGATTGGAGTGGTAATGGGTGAAAATTGCTCGTCTGGGATCTCTATAGATTTACCAGTCTTGGTAGGGCTTTTGGAATTGCCATTTTTCGTTTTCCAGCGTTTCAGGGACCCTGCAGAAGACCCCAAGCTTTCATTTTTCATAAAACTTGGAGATTTTAGTGATGCGGGTGATTGCACATCGCTCAATTGAACTTGTGGAGTGGAGCTTGTGCTGCTTGGTTCTGCCATAGCCACTTTTGAATCAAAGTTTATATTGATTCCCAAGACATTGTCATTATCGACGGTATTAATAGAGTGACGATTAATAGAACCTCCTTCACAATCTCGAGCACTTGTACTGGTGGTAGGGGCAAGACCAGAATCTCTCTTTGTATTATCCTCCTTCTTCAAAGCTCCGAGTTCATGACCTTGGTTAAGTAGTGATCGTGGCCGAAATGCAGGATGCGTATCTGTGGGTGGAGAAAGTGGAGGTGCAACAGTAACGGGAATTGGTGCCCTTGCTCCAGGGAACATATCTTCATATCTCATCGCAATTAGCTCTGACGGTGGCCCTGGTAGTCCCTCATTATTGGTTGGTATATTGGTCGTAACTTGTGGGGTACCGGTATTAGGATTAGGATTAATATTGTTTTTGGTATTATTAGATGACTTCTTTCGAATACTTCTAAAACTTCCGAATCTTTGAACATTGAGTGCCATGGTTCATTATTTGAGGCGAAAGGGTTCGAGTTTGTTTGTTTAGTTGTTTTGGGGTTGTTTTGTTGTGGAGGGAGGGAGGGAGGGAGGAGGGAGAGAGGGAGAGAGGGAGAGAGGGGAGAGAGGGAGATAGGGAGAGAGGTGAGAGGAGAGAGGAGAGGGAGAGGGAGAGAGGAGAGAGGGAGAGAGGGAGAGAGGGAGATAGATTCAAAAGACCCGAAGAATTTGTGCCGGCAAGGTAACTCGTCGTATATTAGAAAATTTCACCTCGAAAATGTAGATTGAGGAAAGTTGAAGAAAATCTGATAGATTATGAGATGGACCAATTCTTCTTCGCCTTTTGGATTTAGCAATGTTACTTTTCGGTGCTCTGGTCGTAAGATATCAATGTTGTGATGCAGGTGTTGTGTTATACTATGCAGCGGCTTGCAGGTGGGCACTTTCTGTGATTTGATATGATGATTGTAATGCTGTAGCGCTGTGTTGTAATCCTGGGCAAGCTTCATGTAGGTATGAAAGGTAGACAGACGGATTGGAATAAGTGCTCGGGTTGAAGTAGATAGTTGGATTGGAGGAGGTGCTTTTCTTCTCTTCGGCTTGATATTCCAAAGCTGGAGGTAGTTCGGATGTAGATTTCAATTGTCCTTATTAGAGGGAACTTGGAAGAATCAGAATCTTTGATATATTCTGTAGAGATGTAACCTTGAGATCCGTGTACTCGATCAATAGATAGTAAACAAAGTATTGATAGTGAAAAGATCAACGTTTTGTTTTTCCTCTGTTAGATATCCATATGTAGCTGAAATAATTGAGGTGGAAATTTGATTCTTGAAATCGATATTCGAATATCGATTATCTCAATCAACTCGTTCTCTCGAGGTCACCGTTCATTCATATACAGTCGAGAAGAAAGAGCAAAACATCATTTCCTCTTCAATAAAAAGAAACATCACGATAATGGACATCAAATTCCCATCTTGACTCTTTTGGTAGAATCTGGTGGACCAACATTGACCACGCACTCCCATTGAACCGTCTTTTCACCATACCTTTTCCTGATCAATATCAAAAAGTAGATTTCTTCATGACCGTCTTTTCAAATTCTCATAGTCATTTTTATCCATCATCAGTCATGCCAACGATACATATCATGATATGCCAACTTCACGTTGAACGCGTTGAAGTATATACTCAATATCATCCGATCAACAATGATATCATGATAACGTGTAATTTCAACATAACATGATCGCTATGACAAAAGGCCATATCGTACGGGTTTGTCGGTCCCATGGTATTACATCATATCATGTCTTTTGATATACCGGTCACGGTCGATTTAGAACTTTATTATAGAGAAGAAGCAGAAGAAGCAGAAGAAGCAGAAGAAGCAGAAGAAGAAGAAGAAGAAGCAAGAAAAGAAAGAGAAGAAAAGAAAGTAGAAAAGTAAATCCCCCACCTATTAACTATTTATTATTCCATATATCTTATATACAAGTAACTCTATATCAGTATAAACATATGAATATCTATATTGTGCAATAGATAGACACAAGATAATATCAATACCTTCACTCAAATCATTTATACCCAGGTACCTACTAGGTATGTATGCAAGTCTCGCCGAGTTTCCCATCCCTCTATATCTCGCCTCCCTTTCTACCTATTCCTCTACATCCTCTACCTCTTCCCTTCCCTTCCCTTCCCTTCCCTTCCCTTCCCTTCCCAGCCCCCATTCCCCATTCCCCATCCCCCATTCAGCTTCCCTTCAACACCAACTCCATACATCCACGCACAGACAAACCAGATACCCTCGACACCTCAGCCCTTACCAAAACAGAAGGTGGCTTACCTAGTAATATCTAGTACCTAAACACCAATCCCCAACCATCAAACATCAAAACGTTCTCCAACCTTCTAAGACTAACTTTAGCACCCACGCAAAGCTTATATTTATAAATATCTCTCACAGAAAAGAAACCAAAAAGCCAAACTCTAATCACAAACTAACTAACTAATTATTAGATACATACTAAGTATCTACTCCATCTACCCAAGGGATGCGAAGACTCAACACCTGTACGCGGTGCATCCTACGAACCTCCAGCTCTTCTTCAAGAGTCTGTAGAGCTAAGATTGAGTCGCAGATAGAATTAGAAGAATTGAAAGAAAAGGGGTTTTGGAAGATATAGGGAAGAAAGGATTATATTATGATTTTGTAATAAACAATCCTTACAAAAAGATAAATATTAGTAAAGCAATGCGGATATAAAGGTTATAGAAGCTCTAGTCAGATTCAATATCTGCCTTTTATTACTATCTCTACAAATATAATATAGAAAATTAGCCTCTTCTTTTTTTTGAAAAAGTCTTTTCAATATAAAGCTTATCACCACTCTTTTCGAATTACAACCCCCTTTCTTTTCTTTAGCTTTCAGCCACTCGAAACATAACTTTATGATACAGAAAATGCTATCACCTTTTAATTAATTCTATACTCTGGATATCAATACAATACAACATTTTTCCTTTGATTTTCGAATTTTCGAATTTTTCGAATTGATTTATATATAGGTTGTAGGGCTTAGGGTTCGACTCTACCCCACCATTTTCAACAGTTTCAACTATATATATCTAATAAGGACTGGAGGATATCAAGCTTATAAAGATATATAAAAGGCTAGTTTAAAAGAAATAAGTTAAAAGAAGAATAATGCCTTCTATTTTCATCTCATTAGTAAAGAACCTTTTGCTATACTAAAAGCAATTCAGAAAAAGATAACTCTTGCTTCTTATAAAAGAAAGGGATAGTAAATTGGATTCCAAGTTTGAAAAGAATTGGATATCAGAATATTTTAATAGGATTAAAAATACGGAAAAAAGGACAAGGGAAAGGTCCCAATGAATAAAGATATTCTATCTCTATTTATACTCCGAATAGAGATCAGACAGAACACCCCAATATTTGTTTTTACTCCCCCAAAATTGATTATATCTACTGTAGATATTCACTAGCATTGCTAAGCTTTAGAGCCTAGCCGTCTTATATAGTCATGGACTGGAGCGGGACGTTAAACTAAATCAATCAATCAATCAATCCATCTACCCAATCTCGTTCGTTCACCACAAGGGAAGATCAGATATATTACGAATCTCTCCTTTCGAACCGAAAACTCCAATATTCTTTTTATTATTAAGAAGAAAAATCCAATATAACTATAACAAATATATTTAAGTTCTATATAAAATAAAAATTTATCGATTCATCTTAATAACTATCTGTCTATCTAGTATTCATTTCATTATTGTTGAATTTTATAAAGATATCTATATCTATAACCTATAAACCTATAGAGGAAGTACCTATTAGGTAGGTAGATTCCTAATATTCAATTCATCAACTAGGTACTTAGTATACTTAATTATAAACTATCTATCTATTATTTATCTAGATCTTAACAAACTCATCTCAAGCAAACCGCAACTTCTCTACTCCTCTCCCTACTCTCTTTCCCTACTCCTCTTCCCTACTCCTCTTCCCTACTCCTCTTCCCTACCCCCTAATTCCTTGTACTCACTTACTCATTCTACTCAGCTATACCTATCTATACCTACACCTAAGCTCTAAACAACACCCAAATATAAATAAACAAACAACAAATAAATATACAAACTTCTCTCTTATCTATAATTATTATTATCATCATAATCATAATATCTACTTCTCCTCTCACTATCTAGATAATCAAATATCACACAAGCGAGATGCTATCCTATTTTATCCTATCCTATCCCATTCTATTCTATTCCATATATTATACATCATAATCTAACTACTAACTACATAAATATATACATATACATACAATTCACTCACTTATCTATCTACTACCTAGATATATAATCATAATCATATAACTCACAACTCCCAATTTACAAACAACCCATCCCTCACTCACTCACTCACCCACTCATCCCTCACTCATCCCTCACAAACCCACTCCTTTCTACCTTTCCTCCCCTTCCTCCCCCTCCACTCCCTTCCACCACAACCCCAACCCCAAACCCAACCCAAAATCCACCCAAAACAAGTCTTACAAATCCATAGATTAACACCACTACCCCAAGAAAACAAAAAGAATGTCACTCATACAATATATATACATACATATATAACATACATACATACAGACATACATACATATATACATATATACATACATACATACATACATACATACATACATACATACATACATACATACATACATCATACATACATACATACATATATACATACATATATACATAACGTGGTTTAACAGTGGGTCGGCCATATCAATCGGTTGGCTATTGTCACGGGATCACCTCTGGGAGTATTCAGAAGCTTTACCGCTGAGCTAAACGCCCAAAAGACTAGGAGGTAGAACTGAAAGTTCTACCTTACTCTCACATATATAGCAGGACAGGACAGGACAGAAAGGGCTTAGTGTCACCCCGTGACATGTATTTTAATTATATTTATAATTTTCAAAAGGCTTTTTATAAAGATTCTAAGTTATTGAAAAATGGTTTTGATTGGTTTCGAATATATAAGTGAAATATAGTATCTTCTCGATTGTGATTTCTATAATTTTAATGAAACAGGCTTTCTAATAAGTATAATATGCTTTGGAATAATAATAATTAGTATTAAACGAAATAGCAGAAATAACAATAATATAATCAGATAATAGGGAATGGGCTATAGCTATTATATATAGTAATAGGGAGAACGAAATTATATCTCCATTTCTAATAATTCAAAAATAGATTCATCTTTTCAATTAATATACCGAAATCGATTTCCCTATAGATTAGACTATTAAATCTATATCTAATAAATAAACAAATAATAAAACAGATTTAAATAAACTAAAACACTTTAATAAGTATATTAAGAATCAAAGAAAGAGCAAATATTGGATATTGATATTAGATAAATATGAAAGTCATAAATCAAAAGCTTTTTAAGTATATTATAAAGAGAATAATATTATATACTTAGGTTATCATTATATTCAAATCATTTAATTCAATCACTTGATATAAACTGTTTTAGTAATTTGAATATTTCATATAGTAATCAAATTAATGGATTTATTAAAATTATATTAATCATATTTCGAAAATTGAATTCTTTATAGTTTCAAAGCTATATATCAAAAATCAATCACAATTCAGAATATAAAATCAGAATTCTGAGAAGTCGATTTAATATCTTTTGATTTTAAAATTATTACTTTCGAAACTGAATATTCGAATTCGTATATTTATTTTCCTTTCTTTCGATTTAGATTAATAAATCTTTCAAACCTTTTATAATTCAATAGAAACTTTTTCTCAATCAATATTAATTAAATTTCGAATAACTTATCATCAAGCAAGCTTCCCTATACCTATAGTTAAAAACTATATTAACTCTAGCTAAAGATATAAAAAGATTAGTTCATAAAAATACACTTTTGAATATTAAGATTTATATATTTTGAAAAGCAAATAAAATATTAAGTAAATATCAATATATAAAAAAAAACTCAAATATATCAAGAAGAAATACTTACTGAATAAGAAGCTTTTGCTATATTATCTTAACAAGAAATTGATATTCAGATTCAATATAATAAATATCAAAAAAAGAAGGAATTCCTAATTAAAAAAAGCATTTTTCAATCAATATTATAATAAGTATGAAAAAGACAGAATATAATATAAAGAACTATCAGAATAATATAATAAAATCCTAGATTATTAGTGTGACGATTGCATCATTTAGAATACTAAGGTGAAGAGCTAGAAGAGCTCTTCGGAAGGAAGTGGTAATATACAGGATTGTGGATCACGTGAGGACCTAGCCGATCCACTAATATGACAGGATCGTCACATTAGAATCTTTATAGTTTCAATTGATGATTTAAATTGTTATTGAATAATACAACTTTGGAATAACAATTCGAGGTAAAAATGGCCGATCCACTGATATGGCCGACCCACTGTTAAACCACGTTACATCTATACATACATACATATATGTATACATAGGTACATGTAACATACCACCAAACCCGCCACTATTTCATTTCATTTCATATCAGATTCAAGTCACGTCACATCACGTCACATCAAATAAAAATCTTCCTTCCGGTTCCGAAGTGCGAGCGTGACACATACATACACATACGCATATATATATACATACACATACGCATATATATATACATACACATACACATATACATACGCATATACATACCTATCAATTCCGCAGCCCTAGACTATCTATCATTATTTCTTCTTTTTTAAAAAAAAAGTTCAAAATAAATAAAGGAAAGAAAGATTGATAAAATTTATATTTCTCTCCCCTCCCCTCCCCATCCCTCACTTCCTTTCCTCTTACACACAATGTAAATACAAATCTCTATTGCGTACAGCACAAACAAAGCATCCATTCATATCATACCATATAAGAATATGTTATTCATTCAATCCCACTGCACTGGATTCCTCCCATTCTACCTCTCCCTTTACCTCATCTCATCTCAAAGAAGCGCACAGAAAAACGAATTCCACCATTTGACATAAATCCATATCAAATCATTTGACACTGTTCAGTATTGTATGCCGGCACCAGCATCATCCATCATGACAAACGCCAACAAAAACGCCACGCCATGCTGCCTGCCTACCAATAAATGCTATCTTTTATCTCCCGATTTTCCACTTATTCTCCTCAACCACTTATACTCATCAAAGTTCCTCATTCTCCCAATCTCTCTCATGATACGTTGAATGTGCTCTTCCCCCACTCAAATCCAACTTTGCCAAAAACTCCGGAGGAACAGTCGGTATATATTTTCTTTCTCTCTCTCTATTCACCCCTCCAAATCCCGCTCCATAACTAATCAACATATCCGTACTCGAGGGTAATGAAAATGGTAGCATAAGAGCTGGATCTAAAAGAAGATTTTCGGGTGCATCGTCATCTTCCTCAAACGATTCATAATCTAGAGATTGAGGTTTTCCACCACGACCGTTCGAATCAGGGGTATCAGGTAAGGGTTTGCTACTTCCCTTTCTAGCTGGTGTAGATGGCGCACTCATGCGTAGACCTTGAGAAGTGCGTTTTTGACGTTCTTTTCTTAATCTGTGCTCTTCTTGTAGATTGATTAAATAGTTCATGGCGCTTTTTGGTAAACCCTTTTCTCCAACTTCGGCTCGATAATGTTTTACCGAATGTATTAGTTGTTGAGGCGTAAGTCGCGTGAGTTGTTGTAATGTTCCAACAAGTGCTTCCAAATCATCTTGTCCCAAAGATGAGAAACATTGTAACCATTGTAGTAACTGAACTAAAGGTGCGAGATGTCGCCGCGTTGCTTCAACAGTCATTTCTCCACTAGAAGTCATAGAACCATGTTCATAATGCTCAGGTTGCCGATTGTTCGTTCGGGCCCATTCTTCCAGACTAGATACATTCATACGTATTTGCATTGCTTTGGTTCGTGCTAGGTATTTTCGATTAGACACGATACGATTGAAAAGTTCGGCTCCAAGCCAGTAGAGTAGTTGCGCCAATATTTGAGAAGTAATGACAGAATGTATGTCATAGAGATCCAATACAAAAAGAGTCGAGGATAATAAAGATGTGACATTGCGAGGGTGACGGTTTAAGCCCTTGCCTTGGGAGAAGGTGGTCGGAATCTTTTTTCAATCGGTACTTCTTTGACAGTCGTTTTTCTCTTGAAGAGCTTCCATTCATTCTGAAATGTGACGTCTTCAAATCCTGGTATAGTTTCATGTTCTAACATGGCAGAATCAAGGACTTTGTCCATTCTCCTTTCAGCATCTCGAATAATCAAGATAAATATCTCATTGATTAATTCCGCAAGCTGAAGTTGAAATTCGGATGTTGACTCAGACAACCCAGCATCTTTCTTCAGATAATGTAATAATAATGTAGCATTCGAAATCCAGAAAGCCAATATCGTCATGTCCCATTGGTGTGTTTCAACCACATCATTGATCTTATCCATTGCGCTAATGAGGAGTTTGGCAAGAAGATCATGACTTGCATGATAATGAGCATACCTAGCGCTGAGAAAAATCATGTTCGCCGGCACAGGTTTCTGAGACGGCGATCGTTGAGGAGACATGTTGGTGATGATAATATCCAGGATTCGACCAAGTTCACTTTCTTGGAACACGAACATTTGATCATGTAAACATCGACTCCAATCGAAATCTTGGCCTTCTTCTTCTAACTCCTCTGGTGACTCAGGTTGATCATCAATACCCATATTACCCAAGTCAACCTCTAAATCTCTAGCACTCTCCATCATCATTCGCCGCCTCATCTCATTTTCTGCCATTTCCTCCTCGAATCGATCTTGGGAGAATCCAGGATTATAAAAGTCGTCCGTTACTCCAGCATTGCCAATGTGATAACCGCCATCCTGAAGGTAATCGGCAATTTCGCTATCTGGGGCGATAAAGTCGAATGCTGTTCTACCCGTTGACGATTTAACATCTCTAGATGCGCCCCTATCTAAAAGTGCCTTCGCTATACCCTTATGTCGATTTGTCATTGCCCACATCAAAGCACTCCATTGATTTCGATCTTGTTTGTCGACATCGGCGCCAGCATCTAATAGTGCTGTTACAACGGCTTCATGACCCTGCGCAATCGTTAGTTGCTTCAAATTATATGACAAACGTGGCCAGAACTCACAAAACAACTTGCGTATATTAATGGCGCTGTACCTTCTTCATCCGGCGCATTCAAATCAACAAGGTCTTTTGCTTTACCTTGAAGAATCCTCTCTATGCGATCAACATCTCCATTACTAGCTGCCATATTCAAAGCCTTTTGCAATATATCCTTCTTCTCTTCGAGCGAAAGCTTCTCATCAGTAGCGACAGCATCTTCATCCTCACTAGCTGAGCCATCCCGATGTGCTGCTTGAGCGGCCAACATTTCCATGAGTCTATTGTCACTCTCCCCTATCTTTTGTTTTGTAATATCATCTTCGAATTCGTCAGTTCCGAGTGAGAGATTCTTGAATTCAAGTGGTTTAGCAAGAACAGGATTTGTTAAGAATTGCGATTGTCCTAAAGATGTTAGTTGGTTGATTTTGTCCCTCCTACATTGAATTGTCATACCTTGCCATGCATCATACATCTCAGTCTCCGGTGCATACTCTGCCGATACATTTTTTCGATCGTCAAGTGACTTGGGCAAATCATCAGGTAGTGGTCGTGGTTTTACCCTCTCCTCCCCAAATCCACCTATATCTTCATTATGGTCCTCGATGTCCATCACAACAACAGAAAGACTGCATGCAACCTGTACACATCTGTTGTAACCTTATGAGAATTGAATTTGTTTCCTGCAGATCTTGTTATTCAAGGAGGTGTAACAAATTCTGGAACTGTAGTTGGTTCCACAGGGAAGCTGTTGTGGTAAGTTGTAACTCGGACTCTCTTGCATTTATTATGATGTCGGAGCCGGGGCATGTTTGATTGAAGGGTCGCAGAATAACCTTAGAAGTCGTCTTGGAAGTTGGTCCAAGCGTTTACAAGGTTTCACCTCACCATGAAGGATGCAGGCTGGCTCGGCTGGGCAATATTCAGCCTTATTTTGTTTTCTGTCAATGTAATATGTAATTCAATGTTTGCGTGTAGAATCTTTCTATGACTTCAAATATGTGGAAGGCAAGTGATTGAAAACTTCAGATTGCGTATGATTACCTAGTATGTCAGAGGAAAGATGCCATATTCAAAGTTTACAAACTACCTAGTACTGCTTTGCGATAAAGTCTCCGTCACTACCTATTAAGAGATGAAAGTCATCGAAGAGAGTAAAACTCTGTATGACAGCAGAGGATTTCGAATATTTCCATTATGCCTCTACTCATTCACTTAAACACTTCTCTTTCCTAGAACCCTAATTCTCTTTACTCCTCCATCAGGAATCATGACCAATTTGACATGTGTAAAGGTTTTATCCTTCACCAAGGATTCAAATTCATGCTCCTTATCAGCGCTAGTCTTACTGGGCTCAACAACTGCAGTCCATCCTTCAGCTGAAAACTCTGGCTCCCCTTCACCATTCCAGTTTATAGCCTCAACCTTTACTTTTTGAGGAAAGTTACCCCTGAAGAATGCCGTATCGACAATCAAGCTCTCAATGGTTCCTGGTGCTCCTAACCGAATGATAGCCCAATCCACATGATCCTTTCCTCTAGATCTCTTGGTTTCCCAACCATCTCCCATATCCTTTCCACGTCCAGGTAATATAAGATTGGCGATAACTCCAAAGTGCTGATCACTGCAAGAAACAGCAACTCCTCCATTTTGAGCGGCGGCCAAATCAAAGATGGCATTCTTATCTTCTGGGAAAACTGGTATGGCATGACCAAAGAGTCTGAATCGAGCAATTCCACCATCTGGGTACATGTTGAGCCTCACGTGAGTGTAGGCTTTTGTGGTTGGAACAGCAAGTTTCCAGCCGAATCTTTGAGAAGGACCACACTCTTGTAGACCAAGAATCGTTTCCCATTTCCCCCGACCACCTTTCCATCCGATTACTTCTTCGTCATTGTCACTAAACACACCCTCGACGGAAATAGCAGGTGCATTATTTCCAGAGAAGAAAGCTGTGTCAACTTCAATTCCCTCGACTGTTCCGGAAGCAACCCCGAGACGAATTACAACATAATCAAAAGGTTCAGTGTTATGTCGACGTGTTTCCCATCCATCATACCAGGCACCAGTGTATACCATCTTTCCTGGTTGTCTGATGGGTGGGGTAGGAGTGAGAAGATTATTTGCTTCCGCAAACCATTCATCTGAGAATGAAAGTACTTTTCCACCAAGACTTCCAGATATCAGATCTAGAGTGGAGGGTTAGCCAAGTGATTGATATATGATGTATTATATGTCTTTAAAGAAAGCTTGGAGCACATGGTGAGAATATTGCCTGGCAGAAGAAGTTCACTCCCACTTGAGATGTTCGTTGTAGACTTGTACATGTTGTTCACCGAAAGAATCAAGAGTTTCCTCTTATGCTCTTAAGCTTCTATCCTTAAGTAATCTATGACTTGTGAAACTTCCAGCCGTTCATGTCTCAAGCCACGCGACAGAAGATAAAGTATCACTCACCAATACATGATGAACGGAAAGTAGTATCAATCTCATCCGATGGCACCAAAGATGCAGCAACATCTTCCGTCTTGTATTCGGTTTCGAAAGTCATATTGAATTGGGTATTGAAGAAAAGATGTCACGACGAAGGATGTCAGAAGAATAATGTGAGGAAATGATCAGAGAGGAAGAGAAAGGACAACAAGAAGAAAAAGTAAACTAAGGAGAGTTTTCGATGATATTGGAAATTTACAATTTCCATCGAGTAATAATACCATTTTCCTATATCGGGGTCCTCCGATAAGTCCTCCGATAAGCCCCGCTATCAAGCAAGAACATTATCCATCTTTAACCTTACTAGGTATTCTTCTTTAATTTGAACAGGATCCGATGAAATGTATGATAAAATGTATGAATACTACCCGTATATTGTTGGATGATATTCACCACATATATGGACAACAGGACTTTTCTGTTGAGTGACGGCTTGGAAACTTTGGACGATGAGAGTAAAGATACCTACTTCATTCTAGATTGACATCTTCAACCCCAGGATTACTACCTATTAGTTTATATATCATTTCGTCTTTCAGCTCATCTCATCCCATCTTATCTCATTCACTTCTCTTCTCTTCATACCTACTAGATAGATTGATATAATGAGGATATACTACATGTATAACATTTCCAATACTTCTCCTTATTTAACTTTCTACTCCATCCTCGTATTTCAATGACAACTAGACACCTGAGCAATAATCATTGCGCAATATGCGACCGGACTCCGTCATGAACGGATGGAAATGTCTCAAGATCTCAACATAGAAAGTGCTTACAGAAGCAAGCTCCATGATTGGTTCACTCCCCCCGCAATCCAAATTCATTGACGCCATTATACTACTCCCAATCGTACTACAAACAAGTTGACGATCTAAATCCATGTAATGTATCTTATTTAATGCTGCCTTGGATCTTATAAGTACCAGGTATTTATATAGGTAGGACGGATATCTTACCCGATTATAATTCATTCATTTTCAATTTCATTCTCGTTTTCTATCTCCATCTCCATCTCAGTCTGGAATCCACACATCAAGCATTTGAGAAGTATTCTATCTCGGACCATCAATAATATGGCATCCTCAACAGGAATACCACAAAATCCTCGAGTAGCTTCAGGAGAACTTCCAGATCCTTATGAAGCTGGTTATGGAGAAGATGAGCCTTTAATCGGAAGAGCCGGCGACGCCTCACAACAAGAAGGTCGTCCACTCGTCTGGAATCTCGCACTTGGTAATTCAACCCTTCACAGCATTCAATTCAAAACATAGCAATAACTAATACAAATTCTTCCATAGGTACAGCAATCATCACTCAAGTCGGACTTCTCCTCCTCGTAGCTCATATCTGGGCTAGCATATTTCTCTCCCCATTAATGCTCTTCTCAGCACATCCTCTTCTCAATTCTGCCGCCCTCTTGGTTCTTACCCAAGGAATCCTCATTCTACAACCTACACATACTGCTACACAGAAACGTCAGGGTACAATTGCACATGCGGGAATAAATGCATTAGCTAGTAGTCTTCTAATCGCCGGTCTCGTCGTTATCGAAGTCAATAAATTCGCACACAATGGAACACATTTTGAATCAGCTCATGCTATTCGTATGTATTTCTAATCAGATCTTGGAGCTGAAAATATACTAATAATTTTAGTGGGTTTGATAACTTATATACTCCTCTTAATTCAATCTCTAGTCGGCTTCACACAATACTTTACCCCCTCTCTATACGGCGATATTTCAACCGCAAAATCCATCTATAAATATCATCGATTGAGTGGATACCTCGTTCTTCTCCTAATGCTTGCTACAATCGCCGCGGCGACGTGGACACCTTTTAATGTTAATGCATTGCATATTAAGAGCTGGGCAGTTATTGTTTGTGCTGTATTGGTCTTGATTGGAATCATTCCACGAATTAAGAGACAGAAATTAGGTTTGGGATCATCTAGACATTGAAGTACCTTAGTGGAGGGGTATGCGTCTAGTTTTAGCAAGGAAATGGATATGACCTTCTCGATTATTCGAGGAATTCAGGTGAGGAGAGGGACAGGAGAATATGTATTATGATTTGCATGTCATGATATACATGCACGAGTTACACGACGGTGATGATTTTGGGGATTTCAACTTTGCGGTTTTCCGGTTTTTGGATGGCGTTTTGGATGGCGAATGGATTGTAGTTTGTAATGGAAGCAGTCGATGGGAAGAATCTGAATCTCAGATTAAGAACTTAATAACTCAATTCATTCTCAACTCATTTATTTGAAACACAATGACCTCTCATAATCACGTATCCGATCATTACATATGCTAGCCTTTAATGATAGCGTACTAGACTTTAGCAAGTAGCTGAATATATTTATTTCATTATACTAGCTCTCGCATCTCTCCCATCTCCCATCTCCAATCTCCCATCTCCAGTTCCCATCCCTCATTCGCATTCTCATTCTCATTCTTATTATCAACATCAACATCAACATCAACATCAACATCAACATCAACATCAACATCAACATCAACATCAACATCAACATCAACATCAACATCAACATCAACATCAACATCAACATCAACATCAACATCAACATCAAATCAACATCAACATCAACATCAACATCAACATCAACATCAACATCAACATCAACATCAACATCAACATCAACATCAACATCAACATCAACATCAACATCATCAATTCCCCACTCACACAAACAAATCTTACAAAATACCAACTTTAACATCACATACATTATCTACAATTACCTACACATACACAATATCCCAATCCACCAAAACTAGCATACAATATTCATCTTGTAACATCTTCAATGCCATTACACCAAACTGAAATTATACTACAATACAATACAATATAATACAATACCAAGAACTCATTCGGAATAAAATGAAACAAAACAATATACCCATTCTCTACTTTAGAATTCTTCAATAATAATACCAACCACCTACCCACTACTTTCAATACAACAGATCCCTACAAACACATTCTCATTCACAATCACAAATATCACACTAATAAACAATATTACCTCAATTCCTGTGCATAATATATTCGTACATGTGCAATCCTCATCCAATGACCCTACCCCTCTTTGTTACCTATCCCAAACCCATTTCCCTCCCAATCGAATCATACTCCCCCATATCCATATTCGTAAGCATACACATACCAATATACAATTTGTCCATCCGATCCCATAATACAACTCCTACAATCCAACACCCATTTCCATCATCCTATCGAAACCCTTACTCCCAAATTCACCTACCACAACTCACAAACCGGTTCCTTCTCCTTACAACTAAAAGCCTCCTTAAATTCTCGACTATTGGCCATTGTACCCAATACTCTTGCCCACTTTGGTGCATGTGGATCGGTATAGAGTCTATTAATTGCCGTTTCCTTCGTGGTCTTTCCACACCACCAGTTAGCGTAACTAACAAAGAACAACTGATCTTGTGAGAAATGTTCTGATAATCCTGGAAGATTTTGATTCTTCTCATTACTCTCCCCTTGACGTTTCTTCCATGCAGCGAAAGAAGCAGAAAGTCCTCCAGCATCTGCGATATTTTCTCCCAAAGTGAGTTTACCATTGACGTAAAGAGGTTTGTCATCTGGACCGGGAATACTGTAGTTACCATATTGATCAATGAAACATTGAGCACGTTCTTTGAATGCAGCTACAGTAGATGGTGTCCACCAATCGGTATAGTTGCCATTTTGATCATAATGACGACCTGTAGAATCAAATGCATGAGATAATTCGTGTCCAGAAACAGCTCCGAAAGCACCGTAACTAAGATATTGAGGAACGGCTACGTCGAAAACTGGGAATTGCATTATACCGGCTGGGAAAACAATTTCGTTTCCAGGTGGGTTGTAATAAGCATTCACTGTTGGTACCGTCATACCCCATTCATTTCTATCGACTGGCTTTCCTAGACTTGACCATTCACGTGCAATATCAAATCGTCTCATATTCAAGGAGTTCTTGAAATAAGCCGAATCCGATACCTGAACAGATTGATAGTAACTGTGAAGGTTCTCGGGATCCATGATATCTGGGCTCTGTTCCAATGATCAGTATGTAAATTCTTTCATCCTCATTTTAGACATTCAACGTACCTGTGTAGGATATCCAATCTTCTGAACGATTTTGTGTACTTTCTCAATGCCCAAATCAATGACACTAGAATCCATCCATGTAGTTGCCTTGAGTTTTTCAATAAACATCTCTTTGATATCAGAGACAATTTGATCTCCAAAGTCCTTGGCATCAGCAGAAAAGGCCTTCTCTACGAAGAATCGACTCAAAATCCAACCAAGTCCATCATCAACATGCGAAACACAAGTTCTCCATCGTTCTGGTTGAGAATCCGCATCCTTTCCTTGAAGCTCATTGATAAATTTTCGATATGGCTTCAATTCATCTGCTTCAATCTCTGTATAGAATGTCTGAATAAGCTTCCATACGAAGTACGTTTGTAATGTTTCCTTTGGAGTAGTCTTTAGTACTTCTGATAATGCGTGCATGTAACTTGGCGATGCAATGATCAATCGATCAAGTTTAACATCTGCAGGAATCAAACCATGAATTATCTTGGATAGATGAATTTGTGGGGTCAGTTTGTCAGCCTCTTGGAGGGACATTGGGTTGTAAGTTTTCGTGACATCGTCCCTGTCTTCGTTGTTTGGAGAGGCAGCAGCCAACTTCTTTTCGAGAGCAACTACATCACGGGCAAGATCTATTGCTTTGTCTTGTGCAGTAATGCTGTTACGATCAAGACCCTTATTGCTTGGATGCTCTGGTAGAAACTTTGGGATGACTTGTGCAATAGTCTGAGTATAATCGTTTACTACCTTTTCATTGTCGTAATACTCTTTCGATGGGAGGCCGATTCTATAAGGTGGTGCTACCTGAACGATGACGGTGTCGGGGTCTTTATCGTCAGGTCCGGTACCGGATGATATTAGTGCCGAAGATCCCAACTTAGCCATGTATTCTATAGTGTCTGTAAGACTGCTATGGTCCTCTGACTTCATGAGCAAGTGCTTGTAGTCTTTAACCGAAAACATATCTGTTACTTGCTGCGTTATTTCTTGTAAAGGAGCGATGCCGACAGTCTTAATCTTGGTTTCATTCATGCATGCATTATAGCCTGCCTTAAGCTTATCAAAATTCTCCTCGTCCAGGGAAGCGGGAGATGATGATAACATAGCGGGAGAGAAGCTCGAGTGCTATCATACAATTAGTTACGTTAGAGGGCTGCCGTCGGAAAATGCTCACTTTAGATTCTTTGGGATAATCTCCTTCAAGTATGTGCCTCAACAAAGTTTGTGAATTCTCACTCATGATTGTTCCTGTAAAGGCATCACCTTGATCAGGTCTCAAATCATGATGATCTCTCCATCCACCACAGACCAGTTCTTCAAAATTCGAGCACGCATCAAGCTCTGTATATTTGGGAGAAAGGTTGTTTAGTATTTCGGAAGCGGCATGAACGCATGCTGCAGAGTCGCATGTGCTTTGCTGAAGGATTTGCTTTGAAGGCGAACGAACTAGGCGTGGATATAAATGTTAGTGATTGCATCTCATCTAGGAATAGTGCTACAAGAAGGAAGAATCGAGGGGTTTCTTGAATGAAGGATTGGATAAGGGTAATGCAATGGTGCTTGAAAGCAATGAAAACATTCATACCGGTGAAGAATAGGGAAGCGGTAACAATTATCATCGTTACCAATAAAACACCCACAACCCCCATAGTACTTTGAACAAACCATCTCAATTTTGCCTTCTGACTTTTGGCTTTCCAAGAGTCCGAAGTAGAATACGATGAGTGCTCGGAGCTACTGGCTTCCTTTCGAAGGAGTGGCGCCTCTTCAGAATCCTCATCACCTGCATTTACTTGTCTCGGCGACGAAGAGCACATATTTAATACTCTTTCTGCTACGCCAACATGTCCTTGTGCATGCGGCTTCTTGGTAGAGGCACCCATATCGTATAGACGCGTCGATACCGCGGTTGACAGCCCAGCCAGGGGAATAACGAAATTTGCGAATGTATTCTTGGCTTTAGCTTTTGCTCGTATTCTTGGGATTAGAGTCGATGAAGGTGGAGGAGTAGAATGAAGAGGAAGACGTTGCGGATAAGATCTTGGACTTGCAGCAGTCTTCTTTTGCCTGCGTGCCAGATCGTCGGAGATTGTTACGATGAATAACACACGCCCCCAAAAGATCCAAAATTGTCCAAAAGAGAAGAAAGAAGAAGGTCGAGCAAAAGGTGGAATGCTCAATGCTGATTGTTATAGAGAGTGTTTACGATATGGAATGGCTGGGGAAGGGGAAGGGGAAGGGAATCAATGCAGAACACAAGAAAGCGGGGAGAGCTTCTTTCCTTATCGGGACCTTGAAACAGCTCGATTGGGGGATAGATCCGAGCAAACCCTTGGCAAAACATGTCGTCCAATGCTTGATGTGTATGGAATCAAATCTCATCCATGGTTCACCGGTGATTGGAGAACTTGAGAAACCTTTTCATAGACAAGTAGCCCTTTCTTTGTGAATCACGACTGGCGATTCGTCAAGCCGACTCAGCCGAAAATAAGAAAGATATTATAAAGCTTCCGACCATGTAATAATAACTGGTGTCGGTGGACGGAAGATACTGGAAATGAAGTTCCAAGGTAAGGTTGGTCTTGATATCGACTCCAATCTTATGTAGATAGCTAGCCAGTAGGTAGGTACCTCGTAGATATATTATTATTATTATCATCACCTGCCTATTCATTGTACTACAAGCAATCTCGTGACACAAACCGAGTAATAGTAATCTTCATCGCAGCCTTGACACTCTTGACACATCAAGAGTCGTGTGCTTTTCCCTCGTCGCAATCTTCCCATCCATCCCAGGAAATCGGATGTTTACTTTTGTGGT